CAGTTCTGCTGACCCCTGCTGAAGTTCCCATCAGCAAGCTTCCTTGGTGCTCGCTGGATGCAGAAACACGCCTGTGCCCATTGCTATTCTCTTTAATTGCAGAGGGGATGTAGCTGTGGTCTCCTTTATGGTGCCACCTGTATGCTCCCGTCATGACTTCTGGGGCTGCTGTCCCATTTGCAGTGGAGATGAAGAGCTGGAGGCTCTAACTTCACCAAGGTTCTAACCTCACCTAACCTCAGCCACATCTAGGATTTGTCTAAGCTGCTGAAGGATCTCTGGCCATGGCCAACTTAGGATCCTGCTCGCCGTGATGTATGTCAGGATCAAGCTGAGAAGAGCATGGGGATGCAGCGAGGTCCTGGGAAGTGACAACGTATATGGGATGGGATTCCGTTCCTTTGGACTGCTGTGCCTGTTTGGTTAGCTCTGACCCATCTGCTCACCAGCCCACAGCTTAAATTAAGGAGTGGTCACAAAAGCAATTGTGTACCCTGTTGAAGTTTGCCGATGATACCAAACTGGTGGACGCTTCAGAAAAGAGAGCCACCGTGCAGGAAGACCTGGATAGGCTGGAAGAGTGGACTAACAAGAACTTTATGAAGTTCAGCAAAGACAAGTGTAAGGTCTTGCACCTGGAAAAACGTAATACAGAAGTGTGGCACAGGCTGGGGTCTACCTGGCTGGAGACCAGCTCTGTGGAATGGGGCCTGGGGTCCTGTTGGACAACAAGCTCAATATAAGTGAACAGTGTGCTGCTGTGGCAAAGAAAGCCAACAGGATACTGGGTTGCATCAACAAGGGTGTCACCAGCAGAGATAAAGAAATAATTATCCCACTCTACTTGGTGCTTGTCAGGCCACACCTGGAATATGGTGTTCAGTTTTGGTCCCTGCTGTACAAAAAAGATGTGGACAGGCTGGAGAGGGGCCAGAGAAGGGCCACAAAGATGATCAAAGTACTGGGAAGCCTGCCATATGAGGAAGGGCTGAGAGAACTGTGTTTGCTCAGCCTTGAGAAAAGAAGGCTTAGGGGAGACCTTACCACCATGTTTCAGTATTTAAAGGGTTCCTACAAAGAAGGTGGGGACTCCGTTTTTATGAGGAGTCACATGAAAAGATGAAGGGTAATGGGTACAAGTTACTCCTGGGGAGATTCCAACTGGACACGAGGAAAGTTTTTCACAACAACAATCAGCCATTGGAATAATCTCCCCAGAGAAGTAGAGGATTCCCAAATGTTGGAGAGTTTTAAAATTTGGCTGGATAGCGCAACGGGCCATCTTGTCTAGACCATGCTTTTGCCAAGAAAAGTTGGACCAGATGATCCTTGAAGTCCATTTCAACCTGGTATTCTAGGATTTAATGATAACTGTTTTGCAAGAACAGCTGTAATGGCCTACCCTGTTGCCTCCCGAGATAAATATCTCAGCTTGCTGGCCCATTCATAGGGAGGCAGGAGAGAGTGAAGAACCACCGTGGGCTATTTCATACTTGGAGCTGGTCCCACAGCCCTGCGGGGACACAACCAGTGGACATGGACCTTTTTAGGGTGGTCAGTGAGTTGTGCCACCCTGTGATCAAGAGAGCCTAGGGGGTGCAGACAGCATTTTTCATCGCCCAAGTCATTCAGTGTCTCTGTCAGCAGCTGTAGAGATAGTAAAGATAGGACAAAAGTACAGGAAAGAGTTTGAGTGGGCATGTGGTCAGAGTGCCTCTCTTGCTGACTCCTGGGGGGTCCGAAAAAACATCTGCAGGTGTGGAAAGATAAGGACTGTTGCCTGAGGAAAAGACTAGGAATCATAGAATCATGGAATGGTTTGGGTTGGAAGGGACCTTATAGATCATCTAGTTCCACCCCCCCTGCCATGGGCAGGGACACCTTCCACTAGACCAGGCATAGGCGTATTGGTAAATCTAATGCATATGTAATACTTGATTGTATAAGTTGAAGAGACAAGTTGCTGCTCGGCGCGCATGGCTTTGGTGGGACTACCCCCCGTGCGGCCGGTGCCAAATAAACATACCTACTTTACAATCTTACAGATTGTGGAGTCTGCTTTCCACACGTCACTATCACAACAGGCCTCACTAAAAATATTTTCGCCTTCTTTCCTTTAGGCCCCTTTTACATAGTGAAAGGCTGATATAAGTTCTCCCCGCAGCCTTCTCTTCTCCAGGCTGAAGAGCCCCAACTCTCTCAGCCTGTCCTCATAGCAGAGGTGCTCCAGCCCTCAGAGCATTTGTATGGCCCTCCTCTGGACCCACTCCAACAGGTCCATGTCCTTCTTGTGCTGGGGGCTCCAGAGACAGACGCAGGAATCCAGGTGAGGTCTCAACAGAGCGGAGCAGAGGGCCAGAATCCCCCCCCTCGACCTGCTGGCCCCACTTCTTTTGATGTAGCCCAGGATACAGTTGGCCTTCTGGGCTGCGAGCGCACATTGCTGGGTCATGTTGAATTTCTTGTCAACCAGCGTTACGAAGTCCTTCTTCTCAGGGCTGCTCTCAGTCCATTCTCTGCCCAACCTGTATTTGTGCTTGGCATTGCCCTGACCCATGTGCAGGACCTTGCACTTCGTCTTGTTGAACTTCATGAGGTTCGCACAGGCCCACCTCTCAAGCCTGTGAGAGCTTTCTGAGAGGCAAGCAGATTCCCCTGGGAGATCCTGCCTTGGTCCCAGCAGAGCCATCCTGCCAGCTGTGCTTGGGCAGGGGTCTGCACTGGGTCCGTCTGCTGGGGGGCAGAGACATGCTCCAGGACCTGTCCATTTCCTGGCTGGGCGGTGTGTTGGGACCCTCTCCTTCCTCTGCTGGTGATGTATGCAGGGCTCCCTCTGGCTCTAGCAGTGTGCTCCCCCGCAGTGTGTGGTGGGCTCCAGGCGCAAAGAGCTGGGTTAGGCAGAGCAAGCTTGGGAAGAGCAAGTGCTCCCTGGCAAATGGGCAAGAAGAAGGGGCCTTTGGCAGCTCAGGAGAAACTGCAGGCTTTTGTGAAGAGGTGGTTGGTGTGTGTAAGGTGGCTCTGTGAGGTGGAACAGAACAGAGTGAAGGCACTGGCTCTTTGCTTGTGAGCTGTGAGCACCATTGACTTGTGTGTGTGGTGCAGTGGAGTCTGTGGCCAAGGCGGTCCGGCTTAGCTGCCTGAGTCTACCAATCTTCTTGTAGGGTTCAAAGCGAGTCCTGAGATCAAATGAATACATCCTCCCGCCTGGCGGCCTGATGGAAACCGAGCTGGAGCTGACCTTCTCACTGCAGGTACCTTGTGTGGCCTGGTCCCCTGGGCTTCCTGGCACTCCTCTTCCCTCGCATTTTTCGGCAAGCACAGCTTTGGGGGCTCAGGGTGAGGGTGGCAGCCTCTGAGGAGGGGCCTCCTGTGGTTGCCCACGCTCAGGTCATAACAGCACGGATTCTTGCTGCTGGCCAGCTGCTCCATTGCTCCAGGGGTTGTTTTGCTGGGCAGTGTGTATTTGGAGAATGATGTGGGATGCAGGTGGCCTTTGAGGGGCACCTCAAAGCTCAGAAGTTCAGACTGTGCTGTACGTCAGCACTGAGGATGAGTTTTCTACCTGTGTGTCACACTGAGCCCTGCCGTCATGCTGCCATCTTCCCTGTGCTTCCCTTCCCCAGTACCCACACTTCCTCAAGAGAGATGGCAACAAACTGCAGATCATGCTGCAGCGGAGGAAGAGATACAAGAACCGCACGATCCTGGGCTACAAGACCCTTGCAGTTGGCATCATTAACATGGCCGAGGTACAGGGTGCTGGGGGCAAAGGGGAGCTTCGCATGGCCTCCGTGTGCCAGCGCTGGGAAGCGAGCTGGGCTGGCTGGCGGGTGCTCGGTGCTGTGAGTGTTCTGGGTTGCTGGCTAGCTATGAGAGAGAGGGGGTGGGCTTCCAGCTGCCATTGTGTCACCCTGGCAAGGGGTTTGTCTGTCTGCCTAGGTGATGCAGCACCCGACGGATGGCGGGCAGCTTCTGGGCCTCCACAGCAACATGAAGGATGTGAGCATCCGAGTGGCTGAAATCAGCATCTACTCTTTGTCCAGTCAGCCCATTGACCACGAGGACGGGAACATCCCCTCAGGTCCTAAAATCAAAGCTTCAGGTGTGTTAGCACTCATCACAGACCTGAAGGCAAGCGTTTGGGACAGGGCATGAGTAACGGAGTGTGTCCCCAAGCGCCTGCCAGCAATACCAGTCATTTCACTGGAGCCATGACAGGCACCATGCTTAGCTGTGGCATTTGCATTGTCTGCTTTCAGATCGCTCCCCAGACATTGATAACTACTCCGAAGAAGAGGATGACAGCTTCTCCTCAGAGCAGGAAGCCAGCGATGATGCTGTGCAGGGTCAGGTAAGGGAGGTCTGTCAGGGTGGCTTATATCCTGGTCCTGTTTCTGGAGCAACAGTCAGGGGTTGAGGGTCCCGATCGCACTAAGCTCTTTCATCTCAGTTGTAAGCATTTGTCAGGGTTTCAGAGGGCAGAGAGCTAGAATACCTGACAGAAGGAAGAACTGTGGGCTGCTGTCAAGTCTATGGTGGGGCAAGGGACTTTGGAGAGCCATAGGTATCACCCATGTGTGCTTAGAGACGTCTGGTCTGCAGCACAAAACCCTGCTGAGGTCCCTCCACCTTGCACCAGATTCCCGTCTCCCTGTGATAACAGGCTGGAGGCTGCCCTCTCTCAGAGAGAGCAGAGCTTTTCGGAAGTACAATCTGGGTCTGAAAATGGTCAGAGGCAGCAGACCCATCCTAGCCCTGTGACGAGCTGTGCCACTGCTGTTTGCTGTCCTCTTGTTGTGGTGCCTACACTTCAGGCTGAAAAAGACTTGTGGTAGTGTGCTGGTCAAGCACAGGGACAAACTCCTCTTCAGGGTCCTCCACATTACCTGTCCCATCGTGCTGGGTTAACACATCAGGGCCCTGTTTACCTGGGAGCTGTGTGCATCATTGAGGCTGATCCCTGGAAGAACACTTTTTGTGAGCTCAGGTGCGCCCTCTGAGCTAGCCCTAGAGAGGAGAGAGCAGGAGAACAACACATGGGTCACAGGGGGACTGGTCAGTGCAGAGAGAAGAGGTTTAGGTCACAGCTTGCAGAAAGCTGCTGTCTCTTCTCTGAATCTTGCTGGTGTATGTCCCCCAGGAGGGGCCTGGGGGCAAAGGCACAGGGGACAGTGCTAAGGAAGGAGAAGGACCTGCATGGAGAGAGGCAGGAGAACTGAGAAGCAAGACTTTGGGAGCAGAGTGGACCAAAGCTTTTCAAAACAGGGGGCAGGCATGGGGCAGAGGAGCTTCTAGGAGCTGCTGCGCCCTGCGCTCTGAGTTGCTCTGATGTGCTCTGACCTTTTGTCTGCAGGATCTGTTTGATGAAGAGGATGACTTGAGGAAAACCAAGAAGGCTAGGAGGAAAATGATCCGAACCACATCAATGACCAGAGTAACATCAGCATTTACAACGTGATGGAAGGGATTCACTCCCTCCCCTCCTTGCAGGGAGCAAGGAGGGTTTCGGGAGGGATTCTGGCACTGGTGCAGAGCCGGGGAGGGAGCCCTTGGCTCTGAGAAGAGGGGCCAAACCTCTTGTCCTTAATGAGTTAACTTGTTGCTCAGGGCTGTACCCCAGCTCATGGTCTGTACTGTGTTTAGCCTGGCTTCCCATCAGTGATGATCTGTGTGCAACACAGTTTTCGCTTGCTGCCATGACATGGTTCTTCTCTTTCCCGCATGAGGAAGGGTGAGCCATTAGCAGCTCTTCTGCCTGTCAGCAGAAGGGGGGAGCTGCTCTGCCAGCCTCCTGCTCTCCAAGCATCTCCTCGTCCCCATCTGCTTCAGCCCTGCAGGTCCCTGGCACCTTCTTCCTGAGTTTGTTCCCCATCTTTTCTTGCTTGAAGGCAGCGTTCCTCAACCAGATGGTCTGGGGAGAAAGGGGATTTAAATGGAGAGAAAGTGCTGTTCCAGCCTGTAGCAGAGAGAGTCCTTTCGCCCTCCCTCATGCCTAGATACAGCGGCTTCTTGCAGAGTCCAGATTTAGTCCAAATCCTACAGCAAATTTAAAGAGCAAGGGAGATCATAGCTGACCTTGGGCCTGTGGGCCCAGAGAGGAGCCGACGGCATGTTAAAGAGAGTAACCATGGCCAGTACATTAGTCATCTTGGAACCTGCTTTGGTAGCTCTGCTGATCTTTTTAATTCCTTTGTTTTGTTTTAGCAACCGAACTTTAAGCAGAAATTTGTGGCTTTGCTGAAGAGGTTTAAAGTGACAGAGGAGGTAAGAAGCAGGAAGGCTGCCCCACGTGGCAGTGTCTCCTGCAGACGTGTAGGTGTCAGAGTGCTGGTTCCCACTCACTGGGAGCTCGAGGCATGAGCCACAGGTGCTCAGGGGTGTTACCAAAGGTGGTGTGAGATATGGCACAGACTGGAGCTTGGCTTTTCCAAAGCCTTCTGCTTCAGGAAGGCAACTGCGGGCCTCATGCTTAAATCACAACCACCTTCCTGTTGGGGAGGAGAACCAGGGGAAGAAGGGTGCTGTCATGCACTGGCTCTGCCCCAGGACCTGGCATGGCAGTGGCAAGCCTGTTCACGAGTGAGACAGCAGGCCAGCGTCAGCCTGGAGATAGCTGGTCTTGTCTGAGAGCCTGCACTGAGTGTGCAGCACAGTCCCTGGAGGACCTCCCAGGTGTCTTAACTCCCAGCGAGTATGATGGGTGTCTGAGACTCCTTCGGATGTCACACTCATGGCACCCTCCTTTGGCACGGTGGTAGTGTCACTTGCTTCTTCCACAGGCTGGATTTGGCTCCCTGAGGTGGGAACAGTGCCATGATGTGCCTCGTGGCCGGGAGGGAGTTTGTATGTCCCTGGCCTGGGATGCAGGTGACTCCGTATCTCTTCATTGCCCTCTGCGCTTGCTCCCACAGGTCCTGGACTCTGACCCTGTAGACCAGACCCAGGAGGTGGAGGAAGACCTGGGCTTGCTCTATGACAGCCTGGAAGAGTGCAACAACAGTGACAGTGGCCCGGAGATTGAGGACAATGAGAGTGTGCACAGTACACCCAAGCCCACCCTGAGGTAAGGGTTCCAGGGAGTCACAGGCTGACAGCGCAGTCTGTGGGACCTGGAGAAATGCCCTTTGACACTTTTCTGTTGCTCAGGCTAATGCAGGCGTTATCTTGTCTCCACTCCCATCACCATCTTCTGTTGGCACCACTGAGCTCCTCACGTGCATATTCTAATAAACTCAAACTTGCCCATTAAAACTGGCTTCCTTCACATTTAGTCTCATTTCATTTCCTGCTAGTCTGGCATCTGATGCTTGTTGATCTGCTGGAAGAGTACCTATTTAATCTAAGCCCCTGCTGCTCCCAGCTCTCGTATCTTTCTGCTGACAGTCCTGGACTTCTCAGGGCTCTCCATACGGAAGCATGCCTGTCGTTCGAGCACTTTTTGACTGCTTGGGCCAGTCCCTGTGTCCCTGTGAGATACGCATGCTGCGCTCCCACCCTTTGTGCAGACATGTGACTAGCAACCATCAGCGATGTTCCTCACCCCGTTCCCCAGGCACCCGGTGGCTTGACTTGCTCTGCTGAGCACTGCTGACTTAGCAGAGAGGTCTCCAGTGGACCATGCAGTGAAACCAGGCTTTTCTCCCACATGGTCTGCATTCACCTGGCCTCTCTGCTCATGGCTAGTCTGTCTCTGTGCTGTCCTTTTGAGAGCAAGTTGTCTTTTATTGTCTTTCTACTTGGCTGCCTCGGTGCGCTGGGTCTCTTCTAACCAAGCCAAGCTTACTTGTCATTGTTGTTTCTATAGTTTGGTTTTTAAATATAGTTTGGATTAGCTGGAATCCCTGCTGAAGGTACTTAGCAGGGGTGGCAGACTTGGTCTGCCACAAGCAAATTGTATGAAATTAAACCTGCTGGATTCAGGAATGCATGGGGCACTGGGGAAGAAACAGGAAGATGGCAGAAGTCATGTCTTCTACAAACCCACAAGTTGTCGTGAAGGAGACAGGAGGCACGTGGGCAAGGGGGAGCTGCTTGGGTGGTCTGCTTGTACTCCAAAAGGAGTTTCGCATGGTCTCTCATGAAAGGCTTTAAAGAAACAAAGGTTCTCTAGGAGAAAAAGGAAGGTCTTTTAGAGGTTAGATAATGGTTTGTGTAGGTAAACTGTGTAAAACTATGTAAACTGCAGATAAATAGGAAAGTCTATTGAGAGTATTTAAATATAAGACCCTGCTCTGGCTCTGCAAGTGCCTACTTACAAACATCTAGTCACTTGGAGAGCATCCTAGAGTAAGTGATGGTTTGTGCTTGTACTTGCCGTTACCATCTTCCTTGGGTGTTTGCTGCTGTCTCTGGCTGGACAGCCTGCTGGGCCCTGGGCTGTTTTTCAGCCTGCACGCAAAGTGTCCCTAGCCTGGTTTGCTCTCTAGTGCCTCAGTTTCTGGCAGTGCTGAATGTGTATCTCCTTGAATTCGCATTACTGGGTGTGTACTTCTGCTAAGGGGACGTGGAAGCCGGCTGCCGAGGTCCTTAGTTACTGACTGCATGGTTCCAAGGCCTTGCGTTGCCTTCTCAGCTGGTGATGACCTTCTAGTCCAGCCTGTAAATTCAAGATGTGATCCTCACGTTGAGTTTGTTTATTGTCATAGGCAGCCTTGCTAGACACTGGGAAGGTCTCTGTCGAGCAAGGGCATTAAGGTAGTCGTTAATGGTGAGCAGTGGCTGGTGCCCTGTATTGGGCCAGTGGTGATGGGAGCAGATAGCCATCCTTTTGATCGACCAGGGAGGCCACGCAGCTGTGGGCTGCTCCTGCACTGGGGTGAAACTGGAGCTAGAACTGAGGCTGTTAGGTAAGACCTCAACAGTCAGAGCCTTTGATTGAAGATCAGAGGTGAAGGAGCAAATGTCTCCAGAGGTGACTTGGAAAGCGAATGGGAAAGAGGAGGCTAATTCATTGAAAACAGAAGGAGGTTGTGCGGAAGGGCTGGAATTTACCTAAATCTCAACCTGCTGAGACTCGGACTCCGTCATGCCTATAGAAGAGCCTTTAAACTGCAGAACAGGGAAAGCGGAGAACTGCAGAAGAGCTCTGTGCTCAGTGTAACACATTCTCTGTGGATGAAAGCTTCTGAATTACAAGTGAGAGAGGGCAGAAACAGACACAGCTTCCATGAGGAACAGGGAGACAGCCCCATTTAAATGGGGCGTTGAGGGCCAGACCGTGTGTATACAATCTAGACACATCCAATGTCTGAGAAAAAAGAGGAGATGAAGATACCTTTTTGAGGTGCCAGGGGTATGTCACGTTGTGGTGGGATTACTGGGACAGTACAGAGGACTGTGGGAGATATGCTGATTGGGGGGTGAATTAGTAGAAAACTTACATATTTCTCTGGTTTGACTCTTAAGTTGTTAACATGGTCTGTATGGATTGAAATTGCTGGCTGAGAAAAGGCAAGTGCAGAGTAAGGACTGTACAGGGTGGTGAAAATGCCCGAGGTCCTGTAGCAGAGATTGGAGGGGTGGAGAGAGCAGAAATATGTTAATAACAGGAGACATCATTTATCCCTGTGTCACCTGGTAGAAACGTCCCACCCGGGCACAATGCCGACTCTAAACCTGTAGCTTGGGTAAACAAACATGTCGTGAAGCAGCTGGTTGCAGAGCCAGTGAGAGGAAGATCGAGCCTTGACTTCTCCCAGCCAGTGTACAAACACTGCTGCTGAAGAGCTGCTCTGTGGTGGGGACCATCGTTTACTGAGATGAAACGTCCCTGTAGGAGCAGTAAACGCAAAGAACCTGACAAACACTGTTGTGCCTGGCAGCGCAGCGTGCTGTATACAAGTGAGGAAACATGTTCAAAGGAAAGTAAAAGGAGCAGCCGGGATGTTCAGAGGTCTGTAGGTATCCTGTAGAAAGCTGCAGATGTATCCAGACGAGGACGATAGAAAGCAATGGAGACTCTGGCAGAGTCGTAAAACAGAAGAACTGCTCTATATCCAGTGCCTCTGTAGCCATCCTTGGAAGCCATCTGCACACCAGGCAGATCAGGAGAAACTTTTCATGGGAGTTAGTGAGCAAATGTCTACATCCAGCTTGGAGGGAAGCTGGCTCACATCTCCTGCAGGAAAGCCACACACTGCAGATGGGCTGCGATTGCTGCAAGGGTCCTGGGAAAGCTGACGGGTGAGATCCAGTGATAGAGCCTGCTTGTTTCCTAAAGACTGGCCTTTGAGCAGCCCACAGGATGTGGAGGGGGTCCTTGGCAAGTAAATAATGGGTGGAAAAAGGGGAAACAAAGGTCGAAGCTCTCACACTGTGATGGCAGAGACAGTCCTGCTGCCCCAAGGGTGTTCCTGTGTTGACCGTTGTGAGTTGGGAACAGGACCTTGGAGTTGCACTGTGCAGCTCTACCAAAACATCAGCTCAGAGATGTGAAAAAAGGCAAATTTAAGTGCTGGGGAATAAAACAGGACATTGCTGTGCTGCTACACGACCTCACATGTGATTCTGTGTGCAGTACTGTGGACTTCAGAGCCTCTGGAAAGGGGAAAGCAGAAAGGAGGGGGTGGAAGCTGCTGCTGTAAGTGAATGCAGCAGCAACAGTCAGAGGCAAGGAGCCCTCACTGGAAAAAGGGGAGGAGAAGGGAGAGCAGCAGAAATCACTGGAAGTGGTGGTGGTGTGGAGGGGGCA